GTACATATGTAACATTAAAAGATTCTGCCACTTATAAGAAACTTGTGAACAAATTACGATTTAGCTTTACTGGCTAGCCAAATATGTATAATTAAAGCAAAGGTAGTATTGACTAAAAACTTTCTGGGCACTTGCAACAACACAAACTGCTAGTGCCACATTTTTATTGAATAAAACGCACTACGTAGTGACGAATAAAGTTGTTAAATTACTCATTACATAGATATGGCACAAATCACTCGGCTATAGATGTGTGATATAATAAGCGATATACATAGATTAAATTTATTACAGCGCTGCATTATTGTTATTTTTTTCGATTTTGATATAAACAGTAAGTTTATAATGTAGAAATACCTCAAAGATATGGCAAAGTACGTAAATATCTTGGCTACCCAAATGTAAAGTTTTTAAGTGGCCCACTTCACGTGCCTAATTTTAATTTAAAATGTTATGTTTTTTATTTTTTTTATCAGCCACTGCTTTAAGAAAAAATTAATATCTCAGGCCCAATTACGACACATCCTTTAAAAATTTGTCTGTTAATTATTTGACATACACTCTATCATATATATATTTTTTACAGATTTTTANTAAGACTAAATAATAAGAAAAAAATTATTTGCCTTAAAACTAGTAATATTATTCGTAGTTTTCAAAAATTAATTTCAGCCAACCAAAAGTATCAAAATGGGGCATTTGTTAACAAAAAAAGTATCACAGTATCAAATCTTAAAATTTAGAAAAATTAGAATCAAAAATGATACAATTGTATCAAAAGGACAACGCTGATGCCAGACATTCTCTGTAAAATTACCCATAAATATCGGGAAAAATCCCTCAATTACCCACATTTTAAAAATGTATCCCAGAATTCAAAACATATATTTCAGTAGTAAAGAAGTAACAATCATATAATTACCTTAATATACATATATGTACATATAATATTCTTTCGAAATTCAAAGCTCTGCAGATTACTCACAAAACACCTAAAATAATTTATAAACATCACTACATTCATAAATTAGCTTCAGTATTTATTAAAACCCAAAATTTTGAAGAATCGTTTTTCTATATTCACGTTTTTTCTACTTTTCAATTTTTTTTTGAATTTCATCTATTTTATTTTTTACTATGCGTGGGCCGAAAATCCCCTTTTTTTAGAATTTTGATTGGTAATAGCAAAAGTATGGTTCATTATACTCTAAAAACAATCTGTGTGAAAGATGAAAATTTTTGGCCAAAAAAATTGTTTCTTAGCTAAATTCGATTCTTCTACAAAAAATTACCATACACTAAAATATGTAGGACTGTAATGAACCTTATTTTTGGTATTACCAATGAAAATTCTAAGAAAGCGAATTTTCGGCACACGCTATTCTACATTTTAGCAAGGTTCGGCTAGTTTTCGTTTGTTTATTTAATGTTTATTATTATTTTTTTTAACAAAAACCATGTAAATCCAAATTTTCGACTTTGTGCAAAAACTATGAGAATTAATTCTGAAAATTTTCACCAAAATTTCAAACTTTTTAATCAGAACCTGTAGAAAAAGGATCAGTCCAGCGCCTTCGTCTTGACCTGCCACAGCCGCTAAAGTTAAACGTAGAATACGTGATAATAATAAGAGCATATTCAGGTTAGAAACTGTTTTATTTTATTGGATTCAAAGTGCTACCCAACTTTTAAACAGGTGGCAGTCCTTTTAAATATTCTTAATGTTTAAGCTGAATATTTCCTAAAACTCCTTTCTTTGACACACATATTTCAATACACAGATGGCAAAATATTAAATATTAAAAATATTTTCAAACTAAAACCTTGTTAAGCCTTTTTCGTATGTCAAGGAAATATACGTATTTAAAATATCTGATTCCTTTAATTCAAGCTGCATTTAAATTTTAAAATGGATGGCCACTCTTTTATATGTGTAAATAGGTGGCAACCTTCTTTAAATTATTTTCAAACTAAAACCTTGTTAAGCCTTTTTCGTATGTCACGGAAATATACGTATTTAAAATATCTGATTCCTTTAATTCAAGCTGCATTTAAATTTTAAAATGGATGGCCACTCTTTTATATGTGTAAATAGGTGGCAACCTTCTTTAAATTATTTTCAAACTAAAACGTCTGACACTCGTATTGTGATGCATATTTACATCATCTGATTCCCTTAATTCAAGTTAATTTAAATCTTAAATCAGGTGGCAACCCTCCTACATGTAGTTTAGAAAGAAAATATCTTCAAAGCAGTTTCGATTGATATCCATATTGAAGTAATTCATTTAACCCATGGAATACATTGAGTTTAACTTTGTAAATAGGTGGCGACTCTTTTTTAAATATTTTCAAACCACAATCTCTTTCATCTGACACTCATATTGGGATACATATTTCAATTTTCTAATCGCCTTAATTTTAGTTTGAACTTTATTTTGCAAACGGATGGCAAAGCTCCTACAAGCAGTTTAGAAATAACGTTCCTTCAGGGTAATTTTCGTTGATATCCATATTGTAGTAATTTATTTAGCCTATAGCATATATTGAGTTTAACTTTGTAAACAGGTGACAACCCTGTTTAAAATAATTTCAGACTAAAACTTTTTTTATCCTATTTTATCTGGCACCCGTATTGCGATACAAATTCAAATTATCTAATTCTCTTAATTAAAGTTGCATTAAGCATTTAAAGCAAGTGGCAACTCTACCACCTGTAGTTCAAAATACTGTGGTCTTCAAAGCCACTTTGATTTTTTACATTTAATTTATCTTTGTGAATAGGTGGCAACCCTCCTACATAGAAGCTAAGCCTTTTCAAACCCATTTCGATCGATACCCATATTGTAATAATTCATTTAACGTATAAATAATTTGAAAAACATATTTTATCAGGTGGCAACTCTTTTTGAGAAAATAAAACGTTATTGCATACATAGGGCAAAGCCCTTTAACTTGGTACATCATTTTGTAAAATCGAACGATCGGTACATTAGGGTGGTCCAAAAATGCATGTGGGGAAAAGTAAAGTCGAAATTTGTATGCTCTCCCCCAGGATTGTTCTATACCGAGATAAGGGTACTTATATTTTATTTTAAATCATAAAAAATATTTAGAGGTCGAGAAGCGCCCAAAACAAACTTTTCGTAGCATGGTATAGAATAGTTAAAAATAAATATTTTTCTACTAGAAACCGCTGTATATCTGCAGGAGATTCCCAGTAATAATACTCAATTGTTGATTTAACAATTTTTTCATCTCAACTATAATTTATAGGTCCGCCAAAAACCCATAAAAGTCCCGAAAAATGTAATGGGGCGACCAAAAAAAAATCGTTGGTATTACAAAATGGATAAATAAGCAATTGGGTATTGTTATTGGAAGTCTTCTGAAGAGAACCAGAGTTTTCCGATCGTAAATATTGATTTCCAACAATTCTATACCATTTCTAACAAAATTTTATTTTTCTCATACAAAAATACATGGAAAACTGTGAGCGCTTTGAGCGACCTCTAAATACATTTTGATTTCAAAAAAAAAAGGCGTACTTTTTTTCGATAGAACAATCCTAGGGGGTGAGGGCATTACAATTCCCACATACGTAAATATAATGCCATTAGGTTATAAATATTTCCCGGAGCTGCGCCATCTGTTATTCAAAAGGCGAAATACACACATATACTTTTTATCTCCTTCTCACACTTTCAGCACATGCACGTGTTTACAAGATGATGAAGAGATTTTGTATGGAAAATCATTTATACTCAAATATACTTCCCATATACCAAACGAATGGAAAAAACTTGAATTTTTGACTAAAGAAAACAAATTCATTCAAGCGGTTTTCAAGCATTTGGTAATAAAAAAAAATTGCTTCTTTTTTATGCCTTAAAATGCTCAATAAATTACTAGAGCACTCTAAAGGCTCAAAATTTACCTTAATATAAGCCAATATTTACCGTTGTTTCTACGACAGAAACCGAATTGGTTACATACAAAAATGAATCTGTCGATAGGTTTGGAATTTTATCTTTGAAACGCCACAATTTTCTTTGAAATCGCTTCATTAGTTCCTGTGCAATAAGCGTTTTCGTGAAATTACAACTACAACATTTGAGCATAGCCTCCATATCAAACGTAAGACGTATTCTTTGTTTTGTTAACGGTTAGTCCTAGCTACTTAAAACTTGCACTTTATTGTATTAAATTTAAGGAAACTTTTGTAAACAATTTTGTGGAGTAAAAATCTCCGGAAGGATGCTGTTTCAGGGCTAATACATTTATCTTATATCATTTAAGAATGTATTAAGATCTGTTAGCTTTTATGGAAAAAATTAACAAAATTAATTTTTGTCCCGTATCGGCTCGCATAAATATGGTCGCCGTACTTACGAGGACATCAACCAGCACCTTCCCCGGACATTCTAGGGGCATGTTCTCAATTGTAGTCCATTAAACGTTTTCCGTTATCGTCGTCAAAAAGGGGGCTTTTCTGAGGTTTTATGGTTCTGATATTTCAGGCCCCTTAAAAAGCGCGTGCCCAGGGGAATTTACCCCTTTTGCCCCTCCCTCTCGACCGGCCTGTATACATATGTACATATGTAGGTATGTATGATTTTTCAAAAAAAAAACTAACGAAAAAGTTGGAGGATTCACTAGGTGTTATAACAGTAAAACTGTCAAAGTCATAAATTTTAAAAATGTATTGTGATTGCTATGAATCACTTATGATTATATTTAAAGTTTTTATTTATAAAATATATGACATTATGACTAGTTATGGCATCTTGTGAATCAATTGGAAGGAATTGGTCGCATCTGGTTCAATATGTACGTTTTCAAGTAACGGGATTTTATCTGTTTGAAAAAGGGCCATATCTTCCACCAATTACTTTTACTTTTTTTCACTATTTTTAAATTCTTCTATGACTATGTATTATATTGTGTTTGAATATCATTTAAAAGCGCATCTTAACAATGAGTCCCGTCTTCCTTCACAGCTTTTTCTGCTACACATGGATGAGATCACTGCAATTTGCGCAAAAGGACCTGAAGCGGTTGCACCAGTTGGCTGTTCAAGTATAATAGTTAACAATGAAAACTCTGTACGTATATAAATAAATGTATACATATATATGTATAATATATAATTTCCTAATGGTTCCAATATTTCTCTATTCCAAATGGTTTTCAGCGTATTATCGCTCACACTGAAGACGCACTGACGGCAACATTGAATCACTATTACTTCGTAGTGGCACACATCGTCAATGATACACCACAGGGTAAACACCAGGTGAAGGAAGAACGTTTCATGTCGCTTTGCTATGCCGGCCACTTGCCTGGCTATACGATGAATTACAATCATCATGGATTGGTATTCACTATTAACACGCTATCGGCGTTGCATTTGAGAAGTGGCAAAACACGTAAGAAAAACTGTTTTCAATTCAACCCAAGCGCTCAATTATTTATGTCCAATTTAAAACTTTCTTACATACAGCTCGCCACTTCATAACACGTGCCCTCTTGAGCGCCGAAAACTTCGACCAGGCAATCAAAGTACTTAAAGATGAGGGAGTTGGTGCCGGCGATGGTTGTTCCATCAATCTATCTTTCATCAAGTAAGGATTATATTTAGTACTTTTTTTATCGAGATTCATATTTAATAAAAACCGTTTCCATTAAATTTTGCCTTCAAGCGACGAATCTCGTAAATTTTACAACATTGAAATGGCGCCAGTTCTGGAAGATGGCAAAGAATCCCGTCTGGACATTAAGGAGATATGCACTGGTGGTCATAATTGTCACGCTAACAGGTATTCGCTCCTGTTTTACATTTAAAATAAGTGTGTTACATATTTATATTTTTTTATTTCTCATTTTACACCACCTCAGATATGAGCGCTTAAGCACCAAGGAAGCCAATCAGTGGTTACTGGATTCAAGCGAATCGCGAATGAATACCTTCAGCAACTACTCGGCACCCACTTGCAAGGATGATGTCGTTCAAATGTTGGGCGATTGCAGCGGTGGCGACTATTGTGTGTTCAATGAAAATAATTCATTGGATGAACTGGTGAAAACAATTGCTGTCGGTGTTTTCGACTTAAACGAAAAAACGGTTGCCTTGTATTCAGACAATCCGAGTAAGACCAAACCACACTGTGTACTACCGATGATACTGAAGGACTAAAGTAGTTATTTGTTAGAGTAAATTTATTCGTATTAATATGGGGTCAGTGAAATGGAGAGTAGTTTCCTCCTGCATTTTGCTATCCCAAAAAAAGTACAACTGAAAATAAACTAATGTACTTATGTATTAATTGTGGCCTTATAAACAATTTAAAAAATGTTGAACGTAAATAAAACGAACGAGTATCTGTGTACAAATTTTTGGAAGATTTAAATAACAACAANTTTTGCTAGAGTAAATTTATTCGTATTAATATTGGGTCAGTGAAATGGAGAGTAGTTTCCTCCTGCATTTTGCTATCCCAAAAAATTTACAACTGAAAATAAACTAATGTACTTATCGAATTAATTGTGGCCTTATAAACAATTTAAAAAACGTTGAACGTAAATAAAACGAACGAGTATCTGTGTACAAATTTTTGGAAGATTTAAATAACAACAAGTAAAGAGTCTTAGTTGGGGTGAAACCGAATCTTTTATATTTTTTTTTATATGGGGGTAAAAGCGGCAGCTAAGTTACCGTATTCGCCAAAATTTCGTATACATACATATAGAGCCCTAACCGCCAAAATAACGTAAACGACATTTTTTCAAAATTTTGTTTTGATGCAGAAATGTATTTTTATGTTCTAGGAATATTTCTGCACCAAAAATAAGAAAAAAAATTGCGCCTACGTTATTTTGGCGGTTATGCCCGATATGCTCTATTCTAAATGAAGAAATTTGGAAAAGGTAAAAGTCGACGCAGTGCCACTCCCACAGTTCTTGTGGGCGGAAATGGTAAATTTTAGCCGATTTTGATGAAATTCAGAGAATACGCTAGTTTTAACCAGAAAATAGTGAATCTGAAAGATCGTCAAAATCGACTAATATTATTGTCCAGAAACTTTAAATTATTTAAAAAATATATATTGATGAATTTTGGTGTACCCTGTTCGCTTACTCCAAAATGTTCTCGTTTGGAAGATAATGAAGAGTTTCTCACTATGACGCCCACCTTTTTTTAGCTCCAAGCTCTAAATTTTATGAATTTTGGGAAAAAATAAGCTAACACATTTATTTAATTTCTGAGGAAGTTCCTATTTCTTCCTTTTACTTAAAAATGACAGAACGAAAACGTTTACAATATCTTCATACTAAATAATGTGCATAGTATTTGCACTAATTTTACCTACATTTTATACTGTTACGATTATCCTCGAAACCTTGAGGGATTTCCCAAATATACTCGGGCTCGTATTGCTGGATTGTTAAATGACCAAATTGTAGTACAATTAACTTTATTGTACAACAAACAATTTACAATACTTGCTAATACAGTAAAAACACTGTACAATACCTGTTAAAGCAATAACAACGCTTTACTACTTGTTAACACAATTAAACTTATAGCTTGCTTATTCGCAACTCAATTCTCCGCTCACTTTACTTGTAGCTTGCTGACTTGTAACGTTCCCAACTCCGCTGTGGCGGCGCCCTTATATACCTGCGCTGGCACTTATGGCAACTCTAGAACATTCTGAAGTTTATCGCTCATTCTCTTTCTCTCGCTGTTCGCAGTGTTCATCCAACTTGACGTTTCTCTTTGTGGAACATTCTACGTCATTCCTCGAACATTCTGCCTATTTCTCGTTGTTCGCTTTGTGTTGCCGCAGTATTCGCCACACTGCCCTCCACCTAAGTCTGATCATCCCGATCAGACACATTTGCCGCTCCAACCGCTGCAAGTCTTTCCAAGTGGGCCACTTTCATCTTGGTCCTCGGCCTCCCCATTGTCTGGATTCGATGCACTGCGTCCTTCAGCCGTTTGTCAATCCTATATGGACCTTTCCAGTTACGATGTTGTTCGGAGGGGAAGCCTTTCTTCGGCTGCAGCATGTGCAACAACACCGAATCACCTTCCTGTAGCTCTTATCGGCTCGATGCGTTACTGGACATTGCTTCCAGCTTATCTCCGGTGGTGCACCATCTCACATGGTCGTGCTTCTGCCGGCCACTGGTGGTGACCAGACCATGTCTCTTCTCATGTGCACCCTTTTCGTCAGATCTATGCCGCATCATCTGTCCATGACACCCAGACTCCCGCCGGATCCTTACGCTGAAACTTCCGCCGTCGTTTCGTATCTCGCTCTTCCGCCGATGCTAACTTCATTTACCGGACATGTATAATCTCAACCTTGGCTTTCGGCTTAATTGCTCGCCTTTTCCGACCACCTTTTTCGGGACACTTCCAAGCCTACTGCTTTCACAGCCGCCTCCATTTCCGGCCACCGGCGTATCACCATTGCAACGTGGTTCAGTGGCTTTCCTCCTGCCGGAAACACTGCCTGGCTCGCCATGACCACTTCCTTGTTGCGACCTCTTCTTCACTGAGCTAGCGGAACCGTCACGCTTTTCCTGTATCAGTGAACCGCTTCCTTCTCCTGATGAAACCACTCCGTCTCCATCACTGCCAACCTCCGCCCAACTAACCGCTTCCGTTTCTGGTGGAATTTTCGACACTTCCTCTAAGACTAACCGTCTGCTGCAGTACTGGCTGTCGTAACCAACCCTAAGCGGCACTTTCCTGTGATGATCTGTCAGGATCATTCTCTGGAAGTCAATCTTCATGTCTTGGCCAAGTAAGAAATTCACGCCGATGATGACTTCATCCACAATGTCTTCCACTATAAACTTAGTGTACGAGGCCCAACCGTCGATTATTACCTCGCATGGTACTTCTCCTAATACTTGGGTGCATTCACCAGTTGCAGTCTGCAGCTTTGCTCCAGGTAGTGGCTTCACATAAAAAGTGGCCAAATCCGGTCGAATAATGGAATGTGTCGCTCCAGTATCCACTGTCAGTACTCTCTCCTGCCCATTCACACATCCACCAATAGTGAGGTTGCTCGCATTCCGGCCNGCCAGTATCCACTGCAGTACTCTCTCCTGCCCATTCACACATCCACCAATAGTGAGGTTGCTCGCATTCCGGCCAATTTGTGAGACGGAGATTATGGGCCCTTCAACTTCTGGAGCCAGCACGCGGCCCTTCCTGATGGCTCGTTTCAGTTTAACGAGTGATTGGAGTTGGCTCCGTCTCCTTCAGCCCTGCGTTTGCGTCCTGCTGAATTGTTGAGCCCACTGGAACTTGCGCTGCAATCGCGGGCGAAGGGGCCTGGCTTTCCACATTTAAAGCATTACCCAGAGCCATTCTTTTTCTCGCCCAGCAGTTGGATAATCTTCTTCAGCATTTCATTTGTCTCGTCCGGTGTTTCCACTTCCACGCGATGTGCTTTGTAGGCTGGTCTACTTAGGAGCGCCGCCGTTTCACGCGTCTGAGCATACGAGACAGTTTCAGCAAATGTTGGCTTTGGATTCGCGTACATCTCTCGCTTGGTATACACGTCCCGCATTCCGTTGATGAACCTCTGGATTTTTACCCTTTCGAGGTGCTCACCAGATGCGTCTCCAATTGCCAAATGAGCCAACCTTTCAATCTCAGAGGCGCATTCCTGTAAAGTCTCGTTGGATTTCTGGCAGCGATACTCCAGCTCCATCTGGTAAATCTGTCTCCTATGCTCGCTACCGTAACGTCTCTCCACAGCACTCATCAACGCATCGTAACTGTTCCTTTCACAGTCGGGAATAGTCTGCGAAATTTCCGCTGCAGGTCCTTTCAATGCGACGAATAACGCAGCGCATTTATCCTCCATGCTCCAATGATTTGCTGTAGCTGTCTTCTCAAACTGGAGCTTAAAGACCTGGAAAGGAATAGTGCCTTAAAAGGATGGAGTCTTTACCTTGGAAGCGTTCGTCGAATTAGCTGGACGACTCACCTGCAAACCCCGGAGACGATCTTCAAGCTCATCCATCTTAGCTTCGACTTTGTCCTGTTTTTCCTTAGTAAGCGCTTCGATTTTATCTTGTCGTTCCTCGATTTTATCCGGTCTCTCTCTGAGTTCCGAATTATTTTTGAATAAATTCTCTTGTAGCTGAGTAATCTTTTCATCTAACTGCGATGACATGCGTGTTTCCTGCACTTGCAGCTGGGATGAAATCTGTGATATGGCACCCAATAACATGTTCATGTCTATAGCCGTTGACGCACAAGGAGCCTTTCCCTGCTCTTCAAGCTTCGCTGATGTCTGTTCCATATCATTCGATGAACCAGCAACCTCTTCCTTGTCTTTGTCCTTCAAGGATGCCTCGTCGTCCTCACGATGGAAGTCGTGTTTGTCAACGTCGATGCCTTCCTTTTCCATAGCCTCTCGCAACCGTGATAGCAACTCCACTTTTCTTCCGGAGGTTGCTAAATTTCGTTTCTCCAACTCCTGCTTGAGTTCCTCAATCTTTAGATCCTGAATTTTTGCCATTTTCAGTAGTTTATCCCTTATATACCTGCGCTGGCACTTATGGCAACTCTAGAACATTCTGAAGTTTATCGCTCATTCTCTTTCTCTCGCTGTTCGCAGTGTTCATCCAACTTGACGTTTCTCTTTGTGGAACATTCTACGTCATTCTTCGAACATTCTGCCTATTTCTCGTTGTTCGCTTTGTGTTGCCGCAGTATTCGCCACACTGCCCTCCACCTAAGTCTGATCGTCCCGATCAGACACACTTGCGGTTCCAAACGCTGCNGCTATGCTAAAGCAGAAGGACTTTTACCATCGAAAGCGGATCCCGTCCAGAAAAGCGCCCACTTTTGGCTGAGTGCTGAAACTTATTAAAAGATTCGCGGGTTGTAACGTTTTTAAATATTTGGCTAAATTGATCTAAATTTTAATTTTTAAAAGAGAACAAGCAGATTTCGAAAGGCACCGCCAAGAAAATTAAAAATATTTTTCCAAAAATAAGCTTTAGATAATCTAATTCATAAATTTAAGAAAATTTTCTTTCCTGATTATTAATCAAGCAGTTAATGGAGGGGGGTAATATAACTGTTGTTAAATACTTTGGTAATTGATTTAAATTTTAATATTTAAAAGAGAACAAGCAGGTGTCACGGTTGTTAAATACTTTGAAAAATATTTTACATTTTCTTGGTAGTGCCTTTCGAAACTGCTTGGTCTCTTTTAAAGATTAAAGTTTAAATCTATGAACAAAGTATTTAATAACTATTACAGGATCATAAATATATCCACCTTCTTCCATTTCCGTTTTATATTGCGTATTATTTTTTTGATGTACATATCAA